GGCCGCCACTTTGGTTCTAAGGGGTCTAACGCCTTGTGCATCTTTAGTGTGTCCTAGAAAGTCAAATGAGTCAGTTCCGATTTGGCATCTCTGAATGTTTACAGTAATGTCATGTTTTTGAAGTCGGTCGAAAACATGATCCAGATGCTTGAGATGCGATTCTCTGTCAGGACTTGCTATTAGACAGTCATCAACATACGTATGTACGAAGTTGAGACCTCGAACGACATCGTCTATGAACCTTTAGAAAGTTTGTGCAGCGTTTCTTAGACCGAAAGGCATTCGCAAAAATTCATAGAGTCCGAAGGGAGTTATGATAGCTGTTTTCGGAATATCGTCAGTAGCCATAGGGATTTGGTTATACGTTTTAATTAAGACATTTTTACTTTTCAAGGTAGCTGTCAAATCATGAATGTGAGGCAACGAGTAACGATCGGGAATGGTTTTCGCATTCAATCGCCAATATTCACCAGTTGGACGCCATTCGTTGCCGTCCTTTTTAAGGACCATGTGCACATTTCGGTTGCGTTTGGTGTTTTCCAGGAAACTTATCGAGTAGTGGTTGATAAAATGGGTCTATCGTACGCTTAATTGTGACTGGAGATAATCTGCAACCAGAAAGAGAAGTTACGCAAACAGATAAATTAGTGTTTCCGTCTACTAGCATCCGTTTGCGCGTATCGATGAATAGATTATGGTGTTGTAGAAGGTCTGTACCAATGATTGGCATAGAAACATCTACAACAATGAAGATCCAGTGTATGGGTTTGCGTAAGCCCACGTTGAGGTAAACGTGCTTTTCACCGTATGTGGTGATAGGCTTTCCGTTTGCCGCCTGTAGGTTTAATACCGATTCGTGAAGCCGGTCGTTAGAATTGGCAGGGAGAACGCTAACTTCTGCGCCAGTATCGACGAGGTAACGAACTTTCGTTATCACATCTGTGACGTATAACAGACGGCTATGTTCGCCGGCTACTGTCGCCGTTAACGCGTGCCGGCTTGGAAGTTTCCCGAGTTGTTTTTCGTGTCGCTCGATTTTGAGTTGGGAAGAGCGCAGAGTTTTCTGCAATTCCTGGAGGACTTTGCATACTGGTTAGGACACTAGCACCAGTCGGGGTCGTCAGTCTGTCTTGGTCTTGAGACCGATTGCTTACGTGCAGTGCTTCTTCGCGGGATGTGCGACCGTTTACGGTCGTTACGAAATATAAGATAACGTTTAAGTGTATGATATAACTCCGTTATGTCATTCTGGGTCGTTTGAGGCTTTTCTTTGACTGAGAAAACCTCGTCATTAGCTTTCGTGATTTCTAAAATGTGGTCGCCAGATGCAGCCACCCCACTTACGGCATTGTTTTGAAACGAGACGAGCACAGCTTGCACCTGTTGAGGAATTTCGGAAACGAAATGTTTGAATAGGTCATCATCGAAGGTTCTTTGGCCGATAACCTCTCTCATTGATTGCAACATGTCCGTCGCAGAACCGTGTTGCAGGTCGGTGTTGTTAAGGAGTTGGTCTAATCTTTGTCTGTCGGTTAGTTCTCCGCGTTTAAGAGTTTCGTAAGGTTCCGAGACATCTCTAGCAAACATACTAGGTGCTACGTACATGTTAAATTCGCATGGTAGTGCCTTGACTACTGCGAGGAATTGTGCATGTGAGTCGTTCACGCCGTGCTCGTGGAAGTCGGCTTCTGTGTAGCAGAACCAGGCGTCGAAGTTGTCTGGCCAGAAGGGCATTAGTTGAAGCGAAGGTGAGGACATAGTATTTAGCTTAAGTACCTTCGGTGTCTGTTCCGTCATGGTGAAATAACAAGTACGAGAATGAACGAGTGAAAAAATATATATTTCAAAAACACAGGAAAAAAGTATCACACTATATAAAAAATTAAAATAAGGCAATAATATACAGAATTCCAAAAAGGAACAGACTCACAGTTCACAATTTGGTGTACCAGATAACGTTAGGCTCACCAATGAAGATGCCACAGGTATCCGGAGTTTGACGACGCTTTAACCAGTAACACCTAATATGAATCGTACCCACCAAGTGGAATCAAAAGACAGAAGTGAGGAGGTTGGAAGATATATTTGATAGGCTATAAATACATCGAGGATCGTCTGATCTATTCCGGCTAGCGATTGCAGGCGATGTTGAGCACGACGTTCCCACTCATGGTCTGGTCCGAATGCATGACCGAGCGCCTTCAGCTAGATGAGTCCATTAAAACCAATGTGGTCAGCATCCAATGTCGAAAGCTAACAGAGCTATTTATTTTGGGGATTTATTTACCGCTACAACTCCAACAACATGGTTTCAGGAAGGGTCATTCTTGTATAACCAACCTGCTGTGGACAGATAGACAACCATCCTTAATCTCAAGGGGGACCGCTGACGTCACACCACAGTAAGTATCGTCAGATTTATTACTTTTACTGATGATGTGAAACTTTAGAGAGAGGGATAGGAAACCAAAAGGGTGAACTGGCACTTTAGGAGAATCTGCATCGACTTCAAAGTTGGACAGATAACAACGGACTTACCTTTAACACTTCAAAGTGTGAAGTAGTCCATCTGAGACATACTGAAGACTACATCTACAAATTAGGCAACTCCCCTTTAGAAGTATCCGAAGTTGAAAAAGATTTAGGAGTGCTGGTACCCTACGATTCGAAGTCTTACGCTAACTGTAACGAAAATGTCTTTCGAGTAAACCTTGCACTGATGACGTTGAAGCGCATTTTGGGCTAGCATGACGAAAGAACTTTCCTTATGAAGAGCGCCTTCAATCACTAGATCTTTACCCATTAGGGTACAGGCACCTTAGAGATGACCTTATAATGCCTTATAGCATCTTAAATACTCCTGGATATCCTCTTAGACACTCACTTAACTTTAATTCCAATACAAACCTTAAGGGTGACGCCCAGAAACTGAAGACCTAGCTCGACAGAGCGGACTGTAGGCACAACCTCTACTCCCTAAGGGTAGTCAAATAGTGGGATTCGCTGCCATATGAGCTAGTCCAAGCGACTTCTTAGGAGTCCTTTAGGAAAAAAATTGAAATATTCTTAAGGACTAAGAATAGTATCTGACTATGATTTAACAATTTCTTTTTCCGCTAATATCGTTGATATACCTAGGTTCCTGCCTGGAGGTATTAATGATCCACTGCTACAAGACACAGAAGCCCGTTAAACGGAAGCTTCTTCTATTCTGTCCAAAACCATTTGAACTGGAAGCTTGACACATAGTGCAAGACATTTTCCTACCAACGCAAATAAACAGTCCATAGGATTGCGTGCCATTTTATTTACCAGTATAACGTTCTTTTCTAAATCTAATACGATCTTCACCGAAGCGGGTAGAGCTGCAGCTTCCGGATGGAAAATTACTCTTAACACTAAAACAGAAAGATAGCACACTGAAAATGATTTTATGCGACTTAACTGGGCTCGTAGATGTCAACAGACTACTCAGTTGTGAGAAAAATCGGGACTCATGCAAGCTAACATGCGTCTAGCCAACCTCGAGCACATCAGGCACTTAACGTCCGACTTGGATAAAGCCATTCAAGGTCGTAGGGTCGTATTTGATTTTACATCCATGGTCTCGTTTCTTATTTGGCTTCATCATTTGATGTAAATGTCAGGTTGAATGCACTAGGTCTTGTTTGTTATTGTTAATGATGTTCACTGGCTTGTTCTTCTGTTTCAGTCCTCACATATAAACGTGGCGATCTTATATAACCAACCATATAAGATCTCCATGTTTATGTGTACCAAAAGGAACCCAAAGTACTCGCTTGATTATTTTGGACACTAAAGAATGGTTATCTAGTGTTGCCAACTGTAGTTGATTATATCCCGGTGACTTATAAAATTTCAGGTGTTTTTCGAACATATGTTTTAAATCGACATCAGACAATATTGTCTGAGGTCGTCATTAATAATTATTAATGACGTTAATGTTGGTAAGATTTCACCAACTTTTCAGCCATTTGCGAAAAAAGCCGTAAAAGTAACACGAAACGATTTACTAATACGTTTGTAAATTAAATCAGCTTTGGAACAGGCTGACATCCTCAGTGAACATGTACAGCAAAATAAAATTCGACTGTGGGTTTAATGAAACCAGTACATAAAAATCGTAAATGTTCGACTCGTTAGTTGCTTTGCAAGAGATTCTATGTCTTCACCGCATAAAAGTCGGCTTGAAAAAACCGAGGTAGTCCTTAGCGTTTTTCAGTTTTGTCAGCTTGTTATTGTTTCTATAGGTGGTTGAGAAGTTTGGTACGTAAGTGGTTTTATACTAATTGTGTTTCTTTGACATTCAGACCACATAACATTTTCTTGTAAATCAGCAGTCATAAATATATGTACATCGGACCATCTTAAAAAATTACAATGACTCCATAAGCTTTTGGCCTATCTTGTGGAACCATTGACTAAACTAACTTAATCTCGAGTATGTGTTAACATTGTACATTATTTTATTTTAAATGTCTAGATGGACATAAAAACCTCTCAACCGGCTATCAACATTAAAAGCCTAGTAACTGGTCTTTGTATTCTATAGACAACAAACTAAATCCCACTCTAATCTGCGGGCCAACTGATGTTCAAATATACCCTTATCATGTTAGAAAATGTCTGAACACTCACAGTGCTGTTTTTGTTTACAAAGTACCTAGCAGTATCATTCTTTATCAGACAAGAAAGATAATTTATTCAAGCAACATATATCCCGTATTTTTTAAAGCTAAGCTTTACATCCAAGCGTTTGCTTTAAAGTTTAATTAATCGGTCTCTAAAGAATTATTTCAGAAAGTAGTTAGTGTTTGGCGAACCTGACGCTATCATTTATCTCCGTCGTGATGTGCATACATTTACGGTCTCTGTATTTTTGTACTTTTGTTCACTAGCGTTTTCTTGCATTCACATCACGTAACTCTACTGCATTTACTAATCTAGATCTCAAACCATCTCACTAAGATGTTTCTATAATGGGAAATTCTGGAACCTGTTTAACCGATTACCTGAGCGCCTGTGCACCTGAGAAAGTTCTTTTAGTCATAAGCTTTTGTACTGTCCTTTTGGGTTTCGTTCTTATTGTTTCAGGTGTTTGTATCACTCAGCTTAGTGATGGACCGCATGCTCATTTGTCCATATCATATTCAGCTGTCCCTATTGTGTTTGCTGGTTGTGTTACACTATTAATAGCCATTGTTAGGATCGTTTCTACAAGTAAAAGTTTAAGGGAAATGAATTTGACTCCCTGTGAGTTTGGAAAACAATGGAATAAAAAGGAGTCCGTTTCCGAGCCTATTTCCTACAATCTTCAAGAAAACGCATATAATGCATTTTCTTTTGCAAATAAATCGCCTAGCAATTTTAGCTCCAATTCATTTTCGGATAAGAAGGTTGATCATATTCCCATGCCTGTAACAAACTATCATCAAAGATTACCAATGCCTCCAAGGCGAGCTGTTTTGTATTAGGTCTACTCAACTTTTAATGTAACACTGATTCGAGGGTTTTCTGTATGTTAAACATCTTTTATTTCAAGTTTCATCATTGTTTCTATTGTCATGCTCCGTTTTAGAATTGTATTTGGTTTTACCACGACATTATTGTGCATGCACTGTTTCTAACTTTCAGATTTGTGTTATAATCAACCCAATAGTGATAACTTGGTTGAATAAAGTAAATCCACTTTTTTTTCAAGTCGTTCTTACTTTCTAGTTTACCCTATTCTATCTTGGAAGATTTAATGGGAAGGGTTTGCATCAGTTTCCGCTTCCATCTCACCTTCGAACTAAGATTTAAGAGTTTTGGCTAGTCTTTGTTGGAGTTTATGTGTCCTGTGTGGATTCCGTCGATTTGGCCATTATGACACAATCTTATGTAGGATGAATATAGGTGGATAGCAATGTAATCCGTGCGGTGCATTTTGTTGTATTCGCGGATTTCTATTTGGATGTATGTATCAATTTCCATCCAAACGACTACACATTAATTTAAAATTCCTTCCCGTTTCATAAGTGGGTGACCCCAAATGCCCTGGTACAGTCGAGAGTAGGGAGAGTCCGCTCTCCCTCTCGAAATGCTCTCATATGGCCACGCGTATATAGCCACTGCCAGGGAAGTCCTACTCACTGCCTTCTCGCGACAGGGGTGTTGTTTACGAAATTGAGAGGATGAACAGCGAATGTCCGGCACTTTAATCGGGTTGGTGGACACGGAGTCCACCTAGGGGAGTTGGAAAACCCTGATTCCAAACCAGTGGTGCACATGGGCTCCATTATCCTGAGGGAACGAATGGCGTATAAACCAATTGTTGGTCACCGGCGACCATGGGACTGCATCTCCTTACGATGTTCCACTGCCTTGTGGGTTAGACCTTTAGGTCAAAGGCTCCGGGTGTAGCCCTAAGAAAACGGCCTGCTTCGGTTTGGGCACCCGGACAGTATCCCAGCCCTCATACAAATCAAATGAGATTTGTGTGGCGCATATGTATCTGGTGCCCCCTTGTACGTGGATTATAGTATGATAGCTACAAAATACCAGCTTACACGCTAAAAATGCACTTAAACGTTTAGTATTTACTACTGTGGCTATCGAAAAAAGAAAGATTTCATGACCATATAGGAATGTGCTCATAATTAGATATGTTTCTTGAAGTACATTAGTGAGGACTTTGGTATTTATGATTATTTTCTAGTACTGGGACTATGGATATCGTCTTACTTTCCCGTGTAGTGGCGTTTTCTGTCCTACTTCCGCATTATGATGTTCAGTTTTTATTCGAAATCAATGATCTAATCTGGCGGTTAAAGTTGTCTATTGTACTAATCCCATATACTCTTTCAAACCAAATTCCACCACACCTCTATGGTTTTATTCCGTTTTCTTGCCTACTCCACTAATTTTTTAAAAATATACTCGTCACACGATCGATTCACCGTGCTAATTCCTAGTTTTCTAAACTTCCAATCAGAGGGTCAAAAAAGTAGTAGCAATTGCCTTTTTTCTAGAATAATAAGTAAAATGTAAAACTAAAAGCGAATCACGTTTTATTAACTTTGATAATTTCATCACTAGGATGTCTTTGATGCAGAGCTTTATGTCGAATATTCAATCGACTCTAATTAATGAAAGATAGAAAATGTAGCTACACTTAATAAACAAGATAATAACTTACAACTGGGAGGATTTGACAATATTACAAAGCAACTACTTAGTCACTACTCACTAAAAATATACAAAGGAACTCACCAAATTGTTGTTATTTAAGTATCATTCTCCTTTATGTTTGCCCTATGTACTCTAGGTGAACGTCCTAGTTACTTGATTAGTCTGGACACTACTTAATTGACATTCCAGTGGTTGATCTACCAGGAGATTCACTTGCTGACTTATGTTACTCAGATTATATAGTCTTGTTTGGTAAAGACCTTGATAATATATAGGCTTTTCTGACCATCTCAAGCAAGAATGCTAGCATGTTTGGAATGCGTTTCTCTACCCCCCAAAATGCAAAATTTTGCCCCAGAATTGGTTTTAGTCCATGCCTGGACTAATCATTGGAAGTGAAGTAATTGAGTGTGTCAATCACTTCACTTATCCTGAAAGCCTAAGCAGGCATGATGGGTTCAGTGTCTTTACTTCAACACATGAACATTGGTACAAGGAGGCATCAAATAGGTGAGCGCCACATTAGTCATCCGATTTGTGTGAGGGCTGGGATACTGTCCGGGTGCCCAAACCGAAGCAGGCCGTTTTCTTAGGGCTACACCCGGAGCCTTTGACCTAAAGGTCTAACCCACAAGGCAGTGGAACATCGTAAGGAGATGCAGTCCCATGGTCGCCGGTGACCAACAATTGGTTTATACGCCATTCGTTCCCTCAGGATAATGGAGCCCATGTGCACCACTGGTTTGGAATCAGGGTTTTCCAACTCCCCTAGGTGGACTCCGTGTCCACCAACCCGATTAAAGTGCCGGACATTCGCTGTTCATCCTCTCAATTTCGTAAACAACACCCCTGTCGCGAGAAGGCAGTGAGTAGGACTTCCCTGGCAGTGGCTATATACGCGTGGCCATATGAGAGCATTTCGAGAGGGAGAGCGGACTCTCCCTACTCTCGACTGTACCAGGGCATTTGGGGGCCTAGGACAATCTCATTCGAAAATCTAGGTTGACTTTCGCTGACGTGCGTCATTTGTGCACTAAACGAGATGTCTGTCTCCTGATGAACGGTTAAGTTTACTGTGATGCAGTTTGCTCCGTTCTACTATATGAGTGTGTGGTTAGCGATGTTGATTGAAACGGCCTAAAATCGTTTGCAGTGGCCTGGGTGTATCCATACTATGTCTTCTTTCAGAGTCAGGGTATTCTATTTAACAATAATAGAGATACCTTAAATGTTTAACCTACTGATCCTCTTGCAGTTTACGAAACAAGCTATAATGAATACGTTAAGATAGTAAATTTACAATGAGTAAGATTACTATTATTTTCTTATTAAGTAGGTAGTCTAGAAAGAATAAAAAAGAAAGTTCAACTCCCAATTTAAAAAGTTTGCTGCCGTGTTGAGGAAAACTTCTTATCCAAAAAGTCAATGAACTTGGAAACCTTATGATGGACGATTTCATTTAATCATTTAATATTCCAATTCAACCGATTACGAATTTTCAAAAATTTTGAGGTCGTCTAGTTCTCCGGATTCCTGTGAATAATATGGGCAGTTAACTATTAATTACATAACCATGCTTATTGGCTCAATGTGCTTAAATAAATTGTCATCAAAAGACGGAACAACAAACCAAGAAGTCATTTAAGTATGATACGAAATTTGCGGGTTAGTCACCAGCGATAAAGTTAAGATATTTCAGACTTAATTCTTGCCGGTACGTGTTACATTATAGCTTAACATTTAATGGAAAACAAACAATCAACCAATTTTATTATGACCATAATGAAGGAATTTATTACTTAGGCAATATACTAGAATCCATTAGTTGACATCAGTTAATTTAACTCTCTCTCCCTCGAAATGCAAGTTGTTGCTTCAGGACTGGTCTGTGTCAACACCTGAACTAAGGATAGGGAGTGAAGTAGTCGAACGCGTTGACAACTTCACTTATCTTGGAAGCCTGATCAGCCCTAATGGGTTGGTGTCTGACGAAATCTCAGCACGGATTCGAAAAGCTCGCTTGGCTTTTGCCAACTTACATCACCTTTGGCGAATGCGAGATATCCGTCTATCAATAAAGGGACGAGTATACTGCGCGGCAGTCCGTTCTGTTTTAATTTACGGCAGCGAAATATGGCCTTTAAGAGTCGAAGACACTCGTAAGCTACTAGTATTTGACCACAGATGCCTTAGAAATATTGCTGGGATCACCGGGTAAGTAATAGTGAGGTTAAACGCAGGGTATTAGGGAATGATGGTAAATCAGTTGATGAGGTTATTAATCTTCATTGACTGAGATGGTTGGGTCACGTGTTACGTCTGCCCGAACACCGATTACCACGACGTGCAATGCTAACCGGTGTTGGGGATGGTTGGAAGAAAGTTAGGGGCGGCCAAACCAAAACGTGGCATCAGTGCTTGAAGTCACTAACTTGTAGTCTGAGCCATGTTGGTAGATGCAGACTACTTGGTTGTGGTCCGCGTGACTATCGTAACGAATGGTTGGAGACTGTAGGTGACATGGCTCAGAATCGATCACAATGGCGTCGGTGTATACACTCTCTGTCTTCTCTTAAACTAAGAGATTAAGATCACTTCACATCTTTCTTTCTACGAACTAATTCTTTCTTCCTATACTATATCCTTATTGCAATCTTTCTTTTATATATTACCACCTCTGAATTAACTACTATGAATCCGGTGTCCATCTTGTTGTGTTAATGAGGTATGGCAACTTGGACCGATGCATATATATGCCTGGTCCCACGTTGCGGCTGACTGACTGAATTTAACTCTGTGTGTATTCATAGTATAACAATCTCTCCTGATTATTAATAGGTGCGTAAGTGTACCTACGAGAAGAACGGTTCACGAATTTCATGGTACAATTTCGTAATAATATTAGAAACAGCAAACTTAAGTGATGTATGTGTCCCGTTTTCTTGGCAATTATTTCGTTAAAATATATCATCTGTTGATAAGAAAGCAAATTTCGATTTATCTATATTGAAATATTATAATAAGATGATTATGAATAAAGCAGTGGTAGAATAAAGTGATAATGACAGTAATAATAAATAGATTAACAACTAAAATTATCGGTAGTTCCATCGTATTCATACGTATATCCGACAGTACTATATTGATCGATCATTCTAGTGAAGTAATTGTTATAGTTACACATCACTTATTTCTGTTACCCCTCGTCGAGGACCATAGGCCGCTCATCAGTACTCTCCACCCAACCCTGTCCTAGGCAATAATTTCCATTTGTTTCCAGTTCCTATTTATACATTTAATGTCT